CAATGATAGAATCTTTTTTTAAAAATGAGACCTTTAGTATATTTTAAAAATGATCTCTTACTATCATACAATGATTTTTATTAAACTATGAAACTATAAAGAGCATCTTTATACTTATATGAATGTAACTTGGTTGTTATGAAGAATGATGTTTTTTGTAAATATTATTTTCAATCTATGTTAATAGATAAGATGTATCAAGATAGATTTAAGCTAATCAAAATGAACGGTAATTAATATGTTGCTTATGGAATCGATGACAAATAAGTAGATTAAGAATAGTTGTGTAAGTATTAGGAATTTTAACAGCAACAAAAAAAATCGGCGTATTTAGAACAATCAAAATTAGTAATTTACGCTATAGGCGTTAAATTACATTAGGACTCGGCGAGGCAACAAGATAACAAGTCTCGCATTTTGGCGCGAAATTCACTGATTACTTGGATAAATAGAGTTTTGCCATTATAGCTGATGTCAATTCGTGAAGGAAACCCGAAGCTTAATTCTTAAGCTAAATCATTAACTGTAAATAATAATTCTAATTTCTCACCCAGGTTCATAACCCTCATTTGGTCCTAGTTATTAAGTGAACACTCTCAAGGTCAGTCTAGCGTTGCTCAAATGTCGTCCATAAATTATAGTCTCACCTAGAATTCTTATTTAACCATAAGCAATCTAGAACCTTGTATAATTCTAGATCAGCTTAAATTACAATATCAGATAAACATTGAATAATAAAGTGTATAAAGGGAGTATCAAGAAAATAGAAACAATAGCATTATAAGCGATATAAATAAATAATCTGGATGAGAATAAATGTTTTGAGGAATACGAATGAGTTAATTAATGTAGAGTATTGTTTCCAAAAATAAATTTAAGATTAGATAACAATAAGTGGACGATCAATACCCGGAAGAAAAATCGAGTAATCTAATAAATTAATATATATGTATATCAAACTGTTACGTAACGGTGTGCTGCAAATATTCACAACGTTTACTTCATCTATATTTATAAAGAACTGACTTTTATAATAACATTAGCGTAAGTAAAAAACTATCAAGCTTTTTATACGAATATTCGTCAACATTAGAACGAAGTTTGTGCTGAGGATGTCGTTCAGAAGAACGATGAAAGCTCCACGACCAAACCATCCAGCTCAGAGAACAAAACACCACCAAAATCATCCACCTGAGCTACAAATCTTCTCCACTATCTCAAAATTAGAACGAATAGTTTAACAGAAATTGGGTGCCGAGTATAGAGAAGACATTTTTATGTGAAAATTATATTTGAAATAATCTTTCATTAATTCTAACGTTTCATCCAGCTAACTTGTCTGGACTTCTTCAAAGTAATAAATCCGCCCATAAATACGTGATTCTATGTTTGAAAATAGGAGAGAATATCAACCAAATATTTTTATCCTAGTGATTTATACTTTTAAAGATACTATTGATTCCTTATGCAAAATATTAATTCATATATAAAATTTTACTTTAGCATTTTAAATTATTATCATTCATAGTTATTGGTGTTAAAGTGATACTTATTCAAAACCTTCATCTGGACAGCTTTGAGCACAAATTATGGAGACATTTGACTTAATGCCTGATAAGTATGTAAACTGGCTTGATTTAAACTTAAATTACTCTGTATTTGTATGAAGAGCTTTCCACAATGAGACTTAACTTTAGATGATCACGTACATAAATCAACTTTCTTTATACATGATTTTTACTTATCAAAACATGGAAGTATTTAAGATTAATTGTAACTAACAAAATAGGCAGAAATCCAAATTCACTTTGCATAACTTTTGTTCTCTTAGCATGAGTATCCGAACAATGCGGATAACAATGGTTATGCTAGCAGAATTGACGTTTAAGGAAATGAATACTTTTAGATAAACGTATTCCTTTTAGAAAGTAATAGTTTTACCAACTGTTTATCTTGATTCAAAAAGAAATTTGATGTCTGATCGTCACATCTGATGATCAACTGAGTCTTTCTCTTTTTTCGTATTATTACACAACTGTGGTTATGTTGTTAGGCTTTGACTGGACGGCCGTTTCGTTCTAGTATGAGAAGGAATCGTAGCTGCGCAGTGCTGAGGAGTCCCACAACAGGACGAAACGGCCGTCCAGTGCTCCCAGGTTTTCCATGGTGGTCTAGCTTCCATTGACTTATGATTTCAACCATTGAAATTACTAAAATCTCCACAAAATCCCTTCTGATGATAAAAATATGTTTATAATTCTTATTATTGTTACAATGATCGTTTTTTATAATATTTTGATATAACTGCGTAATCATGTTTTACAGTGTATGTTTTGTACAGAGATTTACTATTTTCTCAATGATTTTCTGAATTAATTATGCAAGCCTGTTCCTTTGTGACACGATTCCATGAGACATTTTGATTGTAACTATATAACTAATGATCAATGTTTATGTAGGCCAGAAGAATAATACATTTTTGTAATCCTTTTTTTTAAAATAAAAGCAAATAATACTAATTAGTGGTAATTGAAATTACATAATTTTTACGGCTTGTTTCATTATGAGATTTCTCATAATTCAAAGATAACTTTCATCTTGAATTGATGACAGTTGTTTAATTTTCGAAAAATTAAACAAGACCTGTATACTGTTTTCCCATTGTTTTTTAGCTCTTTAACTCGTAAGAACGGTTAACCTTCTTAATCATTTATAATTATATGTCCATATAATCATTGTGTTGTAGATAGGTTATCAGAAGTTTCATTAGGAAGCCTCCAGTTATGGAGTTAATTCAGTAAAAAAAATAATGGAGTAGCAATCCATCAGACTTCATCACAAATCCAAATAAATAAATGACATCAATCATTAGATCCCAATTTAATAAGTAATGATCTGAATTTACTGAACTCTATTTTAAATAAAATTGTAAATGCACAAGGTAGAAGAATTTCCAAAAAACAAAAGGAAGTTTAATAGTGAATTGTTTTCTATTATCTGATTAGTGATGTCATTTAATAACGAATACTTATTTATTCTTCTATGAATAAATTGTAATCAGTATGCATACTCCTTTTAATAGCTATGAAATCTAGCAACACACTAGGTTTTATATTCACTTAATAAATATTTACTTATTCACTAACATTCCCCTACTTGAAACGGTGGATTTTATTTGCAATGAATTAACAGAGAGGTGCATATAAACTTTAATTCCCGCATACGCAATAAAACCGTTAATTCTTAGATGCATGATGAATGTCCGATTTCGATTGGATAACGAATACTATAGACAATTAGATGGGGTAGCCATGGGGTCACCATTAGGCCCTCTACTGGAAGACATTTTCCTTGCAAAACTAGAAAACAGACCACTTAAAGACACAATTAACCATTTAACTTCCATCAAATTTGCCACATGGTTTACGAGTGTTTATTTTGCACATTGCTGAAACCATTGAAATCCGTGTTCACAAACCAAACCTTTGCATCCAAAAGAAGTTTGTACAACCACCCTCGCTAACTTGTCCATCTGTGTAGGAAAGTTTGTAGCAGAAGTTTCATTTTTTGTATTTTTGTATTTTATTTATTCTCAACATTCGTCTCTTGATTCTTACATAACTGCTATACTACTGACCATTCATCAAAATATTCAATCAGTTCCTCATTTTTTTATATATTGTGCAACGTACCAAAGTCTTGATCTTCGAATAATTACTTTGATTATTATTAATCTTCTTTCTCCCAAGTTACTTACTTGCTTACACCTGTTACTCCCGATAGGGCATCGGCCGCCGATCAGAATTCTCAAACCCACTCTGTCCCACTCTGCCTTCCTTTATATATATATATATATATATATATATATATATATATATATATATATATATATATATATATATATATATATATATATATATATATAATGAAAGGTCATGATGAAAAATCAATTGAAAAGAAATTTCTTCATTCGATTCATTCTTTCTTTAATAACTAATAATATAAAAAAGGGGTTTTGTGGAGATTTTTAGAAATATCACTGATTGAAATCATGAGTCAATTGAAGCTAGACCACCATGGAAAACCTGGAATCACTGGACGGCCGTTTCGTCCTAGAATCGGACTCCTCAGCAGTGCTCATCGACGACCCCGCCTCCCCGCGAGATTCGAATCCAGGATCTATCATTCTTGCGCCAGGCGCCTAACCAACTAGACCACTGAGCTGGCCGGCATCCAATAGTGTTAATGTCTAACTTCATCATATGCTCACTTGAGTGCTCGAGTGGAGGGCCTCAGGTCATGGCATCGTGTGGCTTGTTTGTTATAGGTTTATCTGGTAGGGTGTGTTTTTTGATCCTAGACGGTAGGGGGTGTATGTTTGTCTTTTGTATGTTTCCCTGTTTAGTGGTTGTTGGGGTAGCTTATATGTGTGTTGTTTGTCCTGTTTTTCAGTGGGTGGGGGGGGTGGGACGGGGGGTTTTGTTTTTTTGCCTGAGAACAAAGTGTTACATTGATTTGATGGGGTGCGTGGAGGGTGGTTTGACACAGGTTTTGGGGAATGAGGGGACGTTTCGGTGGTCAAAAACCAAGGCCCAGGTAAAGAGCAGGGGTAGCTTTGGTGGGGGGGGGGGGTTTCGGGGGGGTGGGGGGTGCGGTGGGGTTGGGTGGGGGTTGTTTGGGTGGGCTGGGGGTGTTAAAGTGTGTGTGTGATGTGAGGGGCGTTTGGTGGGTGGGCTTGGTGGTGGCAGGGTTGGAATGCGTGTGTGGTGGGTTTGGAGGGGGGTGTTATGGGGTGGATTTTGTGGTGGTGGTTGGTGAGTTGTGGTTGTGGTGGGGGGGGTAGTACTGTTGGGGATCGTGGTGGGGTTGTGGGTTGTGTGTGTTTTTTCTAGGAGGATTTGAATGATGGTTTGTTTCCTGGCGTTGTGTGGGATAACTGTTGTCCTGGGGATGTAGGGTACCCTGTCCGCACCCCCGCTTCCCCAAATTATTCCACACGTTTAATATAATAATGTAAAAAATATTGTTTGACTCATTGGTGTACATTTCATCAAATTAATTTTATGAAATCTTATATAATTATAATGATTTATTTTATCAGTAGTATTAAATAGATATGAAATAAATTGTGAATCAGATAAATAATTTGATATTGATAATGATGGTGGTGAGGATGACGATGATGATGATGATGGTGGTGATGGTGGTAAAGATGATGATGATGATGGTGGTAGTGGTGGTAAGGATGAGGATATCGATGATAAAAGACAATATTCTAATGCATTAATAAAATGCATTACAATCATATGCGGTAATTGTAATAATAAACCAGCGAATACAGTTAAAATAATTAATAATTGAACTGATCTCCATTGACATAAACAAATCTGATTTGCTTTTAATGGAAATTGTACATAAATAAATCGTTGTAATGCTAATAATACAGTTAACCATATTGATGATGTATGACATACAGTTGGTAATATTGTAGTTAAATAAGTGACACTATATCCTTTAAATATTGTTAAATTTTCAGAAAATATATTACTTGTTAAAAAGCATAAATATACAGGTAATGGTAATAATACAGTTAATAAATCACATATAGCTATACCTAATAATATAATATTGGTTGAATTACGCATTGTTGGATAATTTAATACAATTGATATTAAACAATTTGTTATAATTGTAAAGAATATTACAAAGGGTTGTACATAAGTTTGTAAAATATTACGTAAATAAAAATTGGATTTAAAACTTGTCACACGTGAACAATAAGACATATGTGTAGTACCATGTACATTAATGTATTGTTCTAATAATGGTAAATTATTTGATTGAAAATCATTTAATTCTGTCATGTTTAATGTTGTATAATACATTGAATTAAATTGAGTATTTAAATATATAGCAGTATTTGCTGCATTAATCAAATCCTATAATAAATAATATTAAAACAAATAAAAAGAAATAAATATTATTAAATAGAAAAATAAAGATGGTTAAATAAAATCTGTTGTTACCATGATAGATCATAGTTAGTTACTATATTTTTATTTATTTATTTTGACACATAGATATTAGTACAAGGAGGCACCAAATACATATGTGCCACACAAATCTCATATGATTTGTGTGAGGATGTGATACTGCCCGGGTGCCCAAACCGAAGCAGGTGGTTGTCTTAGGGGGCCACATCCGGAGCCTTCGACCTGAAAGTCTGATCCACAAGGCAGTGTGGCAACGTAAGGAGATGCAGTCCCACGCTAGTCGGTGACCAACGGTTGGTTCTTATGCCACTTGTTCATTCAGAATACTGGAGCCCATTGGTTTCGAGTCAGGGTTTTCCAGCTCTCCTAAGTGGACTCACCGTGTCCACCGACCCGGTTAAAGCGCCATACGTTCGTTGTTCGTCCTTTAAATTTCGTAAAAAACACCCCCGTTATGAGAAGACAGTGAGTAAGACTTCTCTGATAGAGGCTATATACGCGTGGCTATGTGAGAGAATTTCGAGAGGGAGAGCTGACTCTCCCCACTCTCGGCCATATAGTGACTCACGTGCAATTGAGTTTAGTTCAGTCAAGGCCTTTTGTTGACCTATTTAGTGGACAAAGTCATCCATGATATAACAACTTGTTGTACTGTCTTTATTATTATGCTTGTATGAAATACATATGCTTGAACATTGTTTAGCGCCTACGCATGTATTCATTCTGCTAGCTTCATTATTAACTGCTTAGTCTATTCGCTGACTCATCCATTTTCCTATATATATATATATGTGTACATTTGCACCTACTACTACTACTACAACTACTTGCTACTGCTACAATCGTAGTTCGCTTGCTCATTCATTTTGCCTCTCTGCTGTCTGGTCCGAATTATCTACTAAATAAACTGTAGTAGCTGCTTCTTTTTGCCTTCTGATTTCAAACATCGCTGAAGATTATACGATAACGGTTCGAGGGTGATTAATTATCGAAGCACAGCCACTACAGAATTGGTAATCCCGACGTGAGAACGGAAGCAAATTTTGGTGAAATAATCAAATCCCAAAAATCCGATTCTTTTCATCTCAGTTTGGATTATCAAATGAACTATAATTACAACTGTGGATTTATATTATTATTCTAATTACACTTACATTATTTCGCAAACATTATTAAACGTGACAATTATAATCATAATAAATAACAATTATCCATAAACAATTGATATATTGGTGCAATTTAGTAAGTCTGTTCCATTTTATAAATTGTGCCATTTTTTTATTATCATTGTTTTTGCCCATCTATTCTTCCTTGTGACTGTTAAGTTATTTTCGTGTGCTACCTAATTTTTATAAGCATGTCTTATGAAAACACAGTTTCAAGCGTACAGCAAGCCTCGTCCGTGAGGTCTCTTAACCTCCCTGCCCCTTCTTTTAAAATCACAGACCCAAAACTTTGGTTTATAAGACTTGAAAATTATTTTCTCGCTAACCGCATTCTTTTGCAAAAGGATAAGTTCGGCCTGACAAGCACACTACTCCCAGACGAAGTAGCTGACAGCGTTCGAGAGGCACTAGCAAAACCAGACACAGAAAAACCATACGACGTGCTAAAAGAGGCAGTAATTAAAGCTCTCTCTCTCAGTGACCAACAAGCCGTCGAACAACTTCTTAACCAAGTACAAATTGGAGATAGAACCCCATCACAACTAAAAAATTATATGAAAAGTCTACTTGGCGATAGACACATTGACAATAATCTCTTTTATCAACTGTGGCTCCGCCGACTCCCGGCAAAAATACAGCAGATCCTAGCGGTGGGAGATACGGATGCTGATTTAGACAATATAGTAAAGATAGCCGATAGAATATACGAAAGAAGCAAGCAAGCGAGCCCTCCACTACACAACGTGACGGTAGACGATAGACTTGATACTCTAGAGAAGGAAATAAATGTTTTATGCCGCAAACTCACAGAATTAACGCAGAGAGAAAAGCCACGAAGGTCATCGCGAGATCGCTCGCGTGAAAGGACCCGGTCAACTTCTAGACGACGCACAACTCCCGCGATATGTTGGTATCATCAAATGTTCGGCTACAGGGCTAGAAAGTGCCTACAACCTTGTAGATTTAACAGGGCTAGTAACCGATACTCACGAGTATCAATGGCAACGGCATCAACACACATTATGCCTGAAAATAGTCGCCTCTTTTATATACAAGACCGAACCACTGGCGCACAATTCTTAGTTGACACTGGAGCGGAAATTAGCGTAGTACCTCCATTTAACGAGGAAAGAAAAAACATTAATCCGTCATTAGTGCTAAGAGCAGCAAACAAATCAGATATTAAGACATATGGCAAACGGAAATTGTCCCTAGATTTTGGACGTGGTGCTTCATACCGCTGGAACTTTGTCATAGCAGACGTATCGATGCCCATAATAGGCATAGATTTCTTATGTAACTTTGACCTGCTAGTAGACTCTAGACGACACAGACTTATAAACGGCAGTCAAACCACTTCGATAAGAGGAATACTTACGGAAGCCGTTTCAATGAACCTTGTGATAGATAAAAGTCGTGGTGATCCATATAAATTGTTGTTAAGGGAATTCCCTGAACTCGTAAACGTAACATACAATAAAGCGGATCTCAAACATTCTATTCAGCATCACATCGTAACGAATGGTCCACCAATCAATGCAAGACCAAGAAGGTTAGATCCCAAAAGACTAGCAATCGCAAAACAGGAATTCGACAAGCTAATGAGGCTAGGCATTATAAGGCCATCGAGCAGCCCGTGGGCATCCCCGCTACATATGGCCCCGAAAAAGAATGGAGAGGTTAGGCCATGTGGAGATTACAGAGCACTGAACAAACAAACCGTAGCTGACAGATACCCTATACCGCACATTCATGATTTCACCTACAGTATTGAGGGCACTACTATCTTCTCAAAGATCGACTTAGTCAGAGCATACTACCACATCCCTGTTGCCCCACAAGACATACCGAAGACAGCAGTAACAACCCCATTCGGGCTATATGAATTCCTGCGTATGCCTTTTGGACTGACTAACGCGGCACAAACCTTTCAACGGTTTATCGACCAGGTCATTAGAGGTTTACCTGGGGTATACGCGTATATTGACGATTTATTAGTAGCTAGCACCACTAAAGATGAGCATATACAACAACTACGGCAATTATTTATGCGACTCAGAGAACATGGTATTTCTATAAATATTGAGAAATGTGAATTCGGAAAAGAATCTTTACAGTTCCTAGGTCACAATATAACTTCTCAAGGTATCACACCAATAGCAACAGAAGTCGACGCCATTAGGAATTATCCCCTACCCGACTCATGGAGAAAGTTACGCCGATTTCTCGGGTTAATAAATTATTACAGACGATTTATCCCGAATTGCGCGTCAATATTGCAACCACTAACAGATGCATTACGCGGAAACGCACGGACATTCCAATTATCACCAGACGCGATTCAAGCATTCGAGAACGCTAAAAAAGCACTAAATAAAGAAGTGACACTAACTAGACGAAAGAGCGAAGCACCGTTAGCTATCATGACGGATGCATCAGACGTAGCGGTAGGAGCCGTTTTACAACAATTAGTAAATGGCATATGGGAACCGCTCTCATTTTTTTCGAAAAGACTGAATCCGACACAAACAAGATATAGTACTTTCGGAAGAGAACTCCTAGCGATTTACTTGGCAATAAAACATTTCCGACATATGATTGAGGGTACCATTTTCACAATATATACAGACCATAAACCCCTCACAAAAGCATTGAACGCCAAACAGGACAACTACTCGCCGAGGGAAATCCGACAATTAGAATTTATTTCCCAATTCACGTCTAACATACAGTATATCAAAGGCAATAGTAACGAAGTGGCAGACGAGTTATCCAGAACGATGGTTAACGCTCTCATTCAGTCTGAAATCGATTATCACAAGTTAGCAGCATTACAAAATATCGACGTCGAGTTAAACAGACTAAAGTCTGCCAACACAACCTCGTTAGTTCTCAAAGAAACTCCATTGGAAGAAGTAAGCATCACCTGCGATATTTCTACAGGTCAACCAAGACCATTTATTCCAAAGCCGCTAAGGCGAAACATTTTCGAAGCCATGCACAATATTTCGCATCCCGGAATAAAGGCCACCATCAAACTAATCAGCGAACGTTTTGTATGGCCAAGTATGAATCGGGATATTCGTAATTGGACGCAAGCGTGTATAAAATGCCAGAGAGTTAAGATACATCGCCACACCAGTTCCGCAGTAGGTCATTTCCGTCATCCCGATAACAGATTCGAGCACGTACATATCGATATTATAGGACCTCTGCCGGTTTCGAATGGCTTCAGTTACATTTTCACTTGCATTGATAGATTCACACGATGGCCTGTAGCTGTGCCCATAAAAGATATTACAGCCGAAACTATCGCAAAAACCCTAGTAGAGCATTGGATTTCCCATTATGGTGTACCTACTAATATTACAACCGATAGAGGAGCTCAATTCGAGAGCCGCCTCTTCCAACAACTCACAGAACTACTCGGAATCAAACGAATTCGCACAACATCCTACCATCCGATGTCGAATGGTATGGTAGAGAGATTGCATCGGCAACTTAAAGCTTCTCTTACAGCTGTCATCAGCAATAATGATTGGGCCAGCAAGCTACCGTTAGTCATGTTGAGCTTGAGATCAACAATCAAACAAGATATAGAATGCTGCCCAGCAGAATTGGTTTATGGAACCACACTACGTCTGCCAGGAGAGTTTTTCACCGCAAGTAAAAGCGTCCCAACTGATATAGCGGACTATGTACAGCGTCTTAAGCAGCATATGAGTAGTCTAAGGATAACGCTTCCGAGACAACATCAACGCCGTGTGTACATACCCAAACAACTAAGTGACTGTACCCATGTGTTTATCAGAAGGGATAATGTGCAACGTCCCTTACAACCGGCCTACGATGGTCCATTTAAGGTGATTAAGAGAGACGACAAAGCTATCACGGTAGAAAAAGCTGGAAAAACGGATGTAATTAGCATCGACCGAGTCAAACCAGCTTTCATCGAAGCCTACGATCAGCCAGTACATACAGATACTGCGAAAACCGTTGAATCATCGAAACTTCAGTTCCAATCATCAACGACATCGACGAACACAAACAAAGAGAATCCAGTAACGACAAGGTCTGGTCGAAGAGTAAGATGGCCCCAACGTTATGTCGCTGCAATCTTCTATTAATAATCTTCTACTATTTTAAATATTAATTATAACTTCCACTTCATTGTACACACATGCATTACTAATTTCATGTTTTACGCTATAAAACTCAACATATCCTATGTACCCCTACACTTAAACGTATAATTTTTATTTAAAATGTAAAGCAATACCGCATTCCTTCTATTTATTGCTATTATTTTTTATAACCTCACGGACAGGCGCAAACCAAATGTACAGCACACACCAACTTCATCTTAATTTTGTACAAACTATTTTTTTTCAAACGATTGTAACTACCTTACTCAGTTTAGTAATTTTTTGTGCAAACACAGACATTTTTCCATATATCTTTGTTTGCAGGGGGGAGCTATTATAGTGACTCACGTGCAATTGAGTTTAGTTCAGTCAAGGCCTTTTGTTGACCTATTTAGTGGACAAAGTCATCCATGATATAACAACTTGTTGTACTGTCTTTATTATTATGCTTGTATGAAATACATATGCTTGAACATTGTTTAGCGCCTACGCATGTATTCATTCTGCTAGCTTCATTATTAACTGCTTAGTCTATTCGCTGACTCATCCATTTTCCTATATATATATATATGTGTACATTTGCACCTACTACTACTACTACAACTACTTGCTACTGCTACAATCGTAGTTCGCTTGCTCATTCATTTTGCCTCTCTGCTGTCTGGTCCGAATTATCTACTAAATAAACTGTAGTAGCTGCTTCTTTTTGCCTTCTGATTTCAAACATCGCTGAAGATTATACGATAACGGTTCGAGGGTGATTAATTATCGAAGCACAGCCACTACAGCCATACCAGGGCATTTGGGGGCAGCACGAGGCCTCGCCGAGACTACAACTTCTTCTCGAGTCCTTCTAGGAGGTATTGCTAGTCACATATCTGCATAAAGAAAAAAGGTAGGGAATGGGGTTAACAAACTCATCCTTTAAAGAAGAACTGTGCTAAAAAAATAACACCAATGATGTCATGTGCTAAACTGTCCATATTGAGCCAGTAATGGAATTTCAAGTTTAATCGATGACTAGTTCGTAAATAGTAGGTTTTTCTGGAAAAATCATATTTAACCATTTAACTGATATTGTAATCACTTTAAATTCACAGAAATACGTGGATTTTTTGTTTTTAAATTGGCTTTATCAGACAACTAGTTAACTAATAAACTACAACCATATAATTAAGGAGACCTCAAATGGTTAAATCAAAAGTAACCGTTCACTAATAAACTATCGTTGCTACCACCAGCTTTGAATGGGATATTCTTTAAATTGTAAATAAAATTTGTGCTGATTGGTAAAGGCTATTGAGATTAATAACAAGTGTCTCTGTCTAGAATCAGTTCGATTTGGGGACGAACTGTAAACTTTGATGATTTTCCAGATATCACTAACTTACATAACAGTTACTTTTCTATCGGTGAGATGATTTGGGATCTAGCCGTCAGCTGCAATGATGATCTGTATAGTCAGCAAAGTAAATAATTGACTACATTAGAAATTTCGATTCATTTAATTCGAATCTGTTGTATGCAAAATACAATCATGTGTATTGTAAACTGTCATGAGAGAGCATATATTTTTATAAGAAGGAAAGTTCAAAAAACAACGTCGAAATATCGATTGGATGATCGATTTCTTTCAATTACTCTTAAGCTGAGATATGTTTGTGATAAAATCTGCTTTTAACTTTCTATTGTGAGGTCCCTTCATGAATTTCGCTTCCATTTTTATTCATCATGGTACTTAGAAATACTTAAACAGATGGCTAGTAGTTTTCTTCGAATTCACCCTAGACTGTATTTTTCATTACCAAACTGTAATAAAGTTCATGAGAAATAGATGTTATTTTATATATGTTATCTAATTTGACCTACCTGATTTAATAGATAAATATCACCTGTACTGTTCATTGAACAAACTGGAACCGTCATACCGGTCATAAGAAAATATTTATCGGCTTGGAGATTAAAATTCTAACTTACACCTAAACATCTAAAATTTAAAAAGAATATGAATTAAGTAATAAACAATGAGAGAAATAAGTGTAAAGTCTTCATTGATTGAAATAAAAAATTATCCTAACTATTTGCTCTTCAACTAGAAAAGAGTTTCTTCAACCTAACAACTTAAATTACTGAATAGAGCTACAAAATGAGTGTGTACTAAATAAATAACAAATTATGTTAGAATGTTGAATATGAATTTGTAAAGTGAATAAATGAAATCAAATAAAGTATACGTATGCATGTGTATTCAGTTCTTATATAAAAATCAATATTCATTTATGACCGTAGACCATGGTCGAGAATAATTTAATCTTTTTGTCTGATAGCGGCAAATCGTACTTCTCAGAATATGTAGGGATTGCTAAAAATTTTAACATATACAATATATGCTTGTTTTTGTTGTTATGTCAATCAAATTGGTTTTCAAAAACATAATAGATAGCTGGACAACCAAATGTACATCATTATTGTCTGCAATATGAGTTAAAAAAGACGTAAGAATGATAGGTTAATATTTATTTACGTATTATTCATTGGTTTTCACGATGTAGCAAAGTGTACTTCATTCCATCCAGTTAAAATGTTGAAGTTTATCAACAAATATAGATTTTCGTCCGTTAGTATTTCATTTGTAAGATTCGATATCATTTCGGAGGATTTTGGGTCATATTAACAAACAAGATCGTGCGCTCACTAATGACTAGCTTCAAAATGGTCCATCAGATGCTTTCATGAGAAAGCGTAAATGGTGGTCTTTAGAGCGTGTCGGACGTTAACCCAGCTCATTGGTTTAGTAGTTAAGTATTTGCGCGCAAAATCAAAGGTCTTGCGTTTGATTTTCTAATGCGAGATCGTGAATGTACATTTTCGAGGAACCCCATACTAGGACAAAATGATCATTTATCGCTTGCATATTTTCAAAGATGACCTATCTGAGGTTAAATAATAGCCCTTTGGAATTTACTATTTTTGGTAGGACAGGAATATCTAACTCCTACATAGTTTATGACGGAAATATAGAAATAGCGATGTATGAAGAGGTATATTAGTGATCTCTACTATGTTATTTATTATGTACGTCAACGGTTGTAAAAATAATTAAACTACAAAACCGAATAAAAGTCAAAAACACTTTAATTGTCACTTGCTTTAAGACTTATGTTTAAAACTGATCATAGAATTATATTCTTTTATATTTTGTGATATTACTATTAATAGGAAACTTCAGGCATAAAACATAAACTAGAACTGTTCATTTTAAAACGGTTTGTTTATACAGCAATTCTATCATGGCTACATTGATTTCAATTACAAGTGTGGTTGACAAAATTTTGATCTTTCTTTATTATTTACATTGATCATGATGATCGTGATCAAAATATCTTTTAAAATCTAACTCTACAGGTATTGAAATGGCTATATCTCTTAGTTCGTGACAAAAACTGAACATATCAGAGATTAGTATCACAAGCGTTTTTTGTGAATATTATAGTAACTTTAATATTTGAAATCATGAGTCAATTAAAGCTAGACCACCATGGAAAACCTGGAAGCACTGGACGGCCGCTTTGTTCTAGTATAAGACGGAATCGTGGATGTACACTGCTGAGTCCCACAATAGGATGAAACGACCGTCCAGTGCTTCCAGGTTTTCCATGGTGGTCTAGCTTTAACTGACTCGTGATCTCAACTATTAAAATATCAAAGATTAAATGTTTTGAATATCTGATATATTTTTAAATAATAGATGTATTTTGCATACTGCCGATAATTATAATGCTAACGAGAATTGTTGGTATGTTACACCAGTGAGTAGCGACATTGCATTAATATCTTTGCATTCAGTGATTATTTTCCAATATAAACATATTTTCACAGTACAAAGTTTATTCGAAATTAGTATGACTTTCAATTATTATTCGGATGACAAGGTCGAAGCAGCTTAAATAGCATAAATGTAAACAGAATGAAATCTCATTACAACTTAATGTTAATTGTCATAAATATTTTGGCGTTGAATCATTTCAGTTAATCTAAAAAAATGAATATGGTGTCTTTATAGATTGTTTTTAGCATGATGTATTAGAGAGTTTATCGATAATTTTTCTGTCAAGAGTTTTAAAAACACGTCAGTCATTATCTTAGTTAAGTAATGAACTTATAAGCAGCTGTTAACTAAATATACTTTGATCATCGGGTTCAGTGAAATTCGTTCGTAATACAAGAGAAGTACGAGTTTTTCTCCAGATACTAAACAAGTGATTCTGATGAACGCTGTTTAACCTTAATTTTTGGTATATTTTTAGTCTGTTTTGTAGGCCCAGTGAAATTCCACTGAGCCCTAGCCAAACCATCCGGCAGTTGGGTCACTGAATATCGAACAAATCATCGATCCTCGTCAGGATCAAGGAAAATCGACGCGCATCAATTAATGGTACGCCATGAACTGGCCCATGCGGCCGTGGTCTTACTTTCGCTTGTATCTACTTTAACTAATATATTTCTGTAATAACGTCCTCTGTGTTGTACTGTCTCCAAAGCATCTCTGGTACCTTGATACATCAATGGAGTAGTTCACGTAAGGTGCTGACCACGAGCTGTTACTTCAACGTTAGCTGGTTGGTCACGCCATTCCCGTTTAACTCGAGTAGGCTTCCGATCATTCGACATAGATCATCTACGTTGGTGAGTTACAATTTAAAATTGCCCTTATAGAAATTTCATCCCTGAGATGCTTCTAAAGATTAATTTGATTAGTCGATTGTATAAGGAATGGACTAACATCAGTTAGTTTACTGTGGATAACGAGCTAACACAGAATAGTAGTAGTGTGGGTTGCTTATGCAATATCTATTCTTGACTCGGCTAGAGATTGATCTCGGTACCTTCAGTTCTCATGATTGGGGGCCTTAAACTTGACATACAGGGTTAACGTCCAGTGGTCCACATTTATAAATTTCACAATACAGTGTGAAGATCATTTTGTGACATTGCTGATCACTATCTCACTCTCGACAAAGTTGAGCTTTACCAGTCACTACTTCTCATTGAGACCATGAAAATTCATTTCAAAACAAATCGATCGAAATTATACGGTCATATAATTATTGGAAGTTTCTAAAGAGGTTAGTTACGTTTTATTGTGATAATCGTAAAGGAACTTGTATTGCCCATATACCTTATTCTGGCTTTCGGACAGGCCAATTTACTTATTCTACTTGAGTCATATTTCGACGTTGTTAACTATTCACTTACCAATCTTAATTGTTTTTATATGAGCTCATATGTGTGTGTACATTTCTTATCCAATTAGTCACATGTCTGTAATTTACTTTTGTGTGACTATAAATATTGATTAACTTTTGACCAAATGGAGTTGGCTTACTCGCCATCTCCACTGCGCGTCGTTTCACTTCGTTCTATTCCATTCGTTTCATATACAAAATATCTGTATTCACAAGTCCATTCTCGTTATTTGACTTATTTAATTCCGTTATTCACCGAACGCGGATCAAGTCGATAAAGACATACGAGGATAGGCAACATATACGATTCAATAACAATCATTCATGCAATCTAATTGGAGTCAGAACTCGGGCCACTAAAGTGGAGAGACCTTTTGACAACATCTTCCGATCTAAATGACGACAAAATATAGAGCCCCACAAACTCACTGTTTAGTCTAGTATATGAAGTTTCCTTATATCGTTTTTGAGATTTGCTAATGAAGAAGGGTGTTTGACACAAAATATGCTATGATGAAAAAAGGTTTTAGGAGTCAATAACACTGAATGAACACGATCAGTTTTTTCAACTCTTCCTTAATAACGTACTAAATTATTGATCTAAAATAACAAATTCAAGAAATCTATTGGTTAATGCTTACGATCAATTCAGAATGTTGAAATTTATTGTTTAAGATAATAAGATGAATAACTAAAATATCACTCTTTATCCTAAAGTATGACTATGTTTAAAATAAATTATGACAGAAAACAAAACTACCATCATTCTCGTCTTTCCGTTACATGACTATCAGTTTTAGAATTCCATGACGTCACATGTGAATTTTTTTGTTGTATCCCGATGTGAATAATGAATAGTAACTTTTTGGACCCGTTTGTGGACCAATACTATGCGTCGGATGGAGAATGCTAGTAAGCGGCCTATGCTCCTTCACGAGGAGTAACAGGCGTAAGTGAAGTTTTAAATGACTAAATTATTCATACTCCTGTTCCTCTTATCATGAGCTTTATTTTGACCTATGAACTATTATTATACGATTTACCATTCTTGACTTATACCCAGTTTATCAATTACTACCTCCCACATTCACAGCCACTTTTGGCTAATTCTTGTACAAATGTTGTATCCTATTTCATGGTATTTCATGGTCTGTCTGATTGGGATATAAACCCAGTATGTTTTAAATAAATGATTCATATCTCAGTGGCTGAAATTGGTGTTCTGGACTTAACATGTATTGCTGAGCAGGAAGCAGGATAGATAAAGACTTTAGACTGTTCGTACGGGTTTTATGCTTTATTGATCCGATCGATAATTCACTGTTCTCTAAATGGCGGTATCATCACGTTATACATTAATTAGGATACAGGTCACAAGTTATAACATTTTAGAAAACTGTTGAATGCAGAAATAATGATCAGAAAAGTTCGAACACGTTATTATTAGAACTAAGAATCATTCAAAGTTACCTTTCATATATAACATTCATTGTGACAAAAATTGGCAAATCCCTACTATAAACATATGAAATTAAATGAGATGAATTCTACGTGACTTTCTATTTCTAAAAAGTCAGTAATTTAAACCAAAACAGATATGTAAATTTATCTTGGATTGTTAGGCTATTTTGTCTTACACAAGGTATGAATTTCTTTTAAATTCGTATTTTGAAGTAGCGGCAGACTTAA